TATGAACGCAATTTTACTGTGTTTTAGTTTCAATTAGTGTTTCGTTTTTCACTATCGTAATGTTTTGAATATCTTTACCGGTAAATCATCAAAGAATATCAAACAGTAATCAGTTAAACAAACATTAAGTTGATTTACTTCATAAAACCTTCGTAAGAGTTAGATTGTAGTTGTGGAGATCCAACCATTTTATTGAGCAGATGAGGTTTTGAACTAGCTAACTATGTGGTGTATATCAGTAACTTCATAGAACTCAAATGCAAAGCAAACCTCATGAATCGTCTAAATGGTCTGACTCTGTAAACTGTTGATCGAGTTGTAAGGTACGATGAACCAGCATGTAGATAAGGATATGACTCAATTCGAAGAAGTTTAAGGGCTGTTCGAACAAAAAAACAATATCATTAGATCAAATTATTGAGTGTTGATTTGAATAATGCTGCTTGTTCTTCAGAGCCTGTATAAAATCAGTGATTGTTGAAGCAAAGTAACTTATATCAAAATTGGCTAGATTAGTACAGATTTTCTTATTCTCTATGTTGTAGTTTTTTTCTTATTTTATACGTGACTTCATGCGTTAGAGGTGATCTTAATGACCGCAGTGCCCAAGGGACAACTGCTTGAGGTCGGTCACATACGACCTATTTGTGGGTAATTTTTGTGTTAGCTCTGTACTTGTTAGGACCTTGCCGCCGCAGACGGATTTCCGAGGGATAAGGCGAGGCGTGGATTTTTAGGGTCGACCTTTTCTAACCCCACCCCTCTTTGTGGGAAGGCAACATCACTGTTATGCTGGTTGTCTGAAGGAAGCACCTTACTGCTGTTATACCTCTGTACAGTCAGCAGTACGACTTCACCTTTGGATCTTGGGTTTGCTGCTTTTAGTCTTACCGCTCTTCAACCGACCTGCTTGGCATGGTAGGACCATGAGGAACGATTGTTCCAGCCAATATAGCTCGATTGGTTCATCACGATAGGCAAGCCCAACCACCACTTCAAGGTAGTAGCAACAGTCGGGGCCAATTATTTAAAAAAGATCTTTGTCATTATTTCTATCCAACTTTATGGTAATGTGAAGTAGTGTGTGTTCCAGCTTGAAATTATACATATTTGTACACCATGTCTTGAGTATTTGGTTTTCATGTAATTGAGCAAGGTATTAGTTTTTAATATTTGAATTTGTAAATACTTCTTTTGTACATAAGACCACTGAAACACATACATAGTGTTAACAAAACCATAAAGACACAAGCAGATAATAAATATATTATCAGAAAGTTAGACTACTATGGAAAACCTGGAAGCACTGAACGGCTGTTTTGTCTTAGTATGAAACTTCTCAGCAATGCACATCCACGATCCCTTTCGCTTGATTTGAACCCAAGACCTATCAGTCCTGCACACAAACGCTTAACCTTTAAACAACTAAGCCGGCATTCAACGCCTGGACCGATAGTTGCTGGGTCCGAATCCGAATCGTAGATGCGCTCTGCTGAGGAATTCCACACTAGTGATTCCAGATTTTTCATGCTTCATGGATTCGACTATCAGAATTAATAAATTAAACGATGAATATGAATTATCTATTTATCTAAGTTGTTTAGGTTTTGATTACCATCATCAAAATATTCTCTTTCATAATGATCACATTGTTATTCTGAATTGGTTTGAGATCTATATATTTTAATTGTTTAAATGTACAAGTAATTTGTTTATATCTAATGAAATTCCATTTCTTAAAATTGATTCATTATTATTGTTATTACTACTATTACTATTATTATTATTAGTAGTAGTATTAGTAGTATTATGGATAGATCATACTGTGTAATTCATTCAATTATGGTGTCATATGGTTTAATGAGTTGCCCAATTTCTAGATGTATTATATTGTACTTGAATTTTAGATTAGGTTCCTGTTAAGTGATTCAATAGTTTTTTTTTCTGTCATAAAATCAATTTCATTGGACACATACATGTAAGTAGTATAAGTAGTATAAATACTGATAGATGTGTTATAATTAGTGATTGTTGTTATTTCTATTCTTGTCATATATGATTGTATTACTTAATTTATAAAGGTAGTTAATAGATATATAATCATAGATGTTGACAACTCATTATATATATGTAATTTGAACACAATTGATTGATCACTGGGTGGTGATCAATGTCATACGTGTCAAGTCCGTCTTTAGTGCTGATCAAATGCTATCGATCAAGTTGCAATGTGGCCACTAGTCTAGGTGGCTCGACACTGAATGTGAAGGTGAGTGACATGGGGTTGAATCCGTCAGGAAGCACCAGTTCCATCAAGATTACAGGTACAGCTTGCTGACGAGTGCCAAGTAGCACGAAATCCGGGTCCAGGGTTTTCTGTTAACCACCTCCAACCACCATCAAATATATATTGAACAATCAAACTTAATTCACTTTATAAATGATTAAGTCATGTAATTTAAATATTCATTGTTAATCTCGTTTATAAAATTAACTATTAACTATCTTGTTTTGAATGTTAAAATAAAGGTTTCATGATCAAACTACTTATTTTAAAGTGATGAAGCGAGCATAGTATTTCATGAAGTAATTGTCGTGTCATTAGATTTGTGTATGGGTTGTGATTCTGCCCGGATGCTCAAACTGAAGCAGGTGACTTTCCTAAGGAGCCACACCAGGAACCTTTGACCTGAAGGTCTGATGCACAAGGCAGTGGATCATCGTCATGAGATGCAGTCCCATGGAAGTTGATGACCAATGGTTGATTCATACACTATTTGTTCCCTCAGGATACTGGAGCCCATGTGTACTATTTGTTTGGAGTCAAGGTTTCCCATCTCCTCTAGGTGAAATTTTCGTGTCCACCAACCCGGTTAAAGCATCGGACATTCGCTTTTCGTCCTCTCAATTCCGTAAACAATAGTAATGCCACGAGAAGGCAGTGAGTAAAACCTCCCCTCACAGAGGCTTTATACGTGTGGCCATATGAGAGCATTGCGAGAGAGCAATCAGACTCTTCCCACTCTCGACCGTACCAGGGCGTTTGGGGCTTCCACAAATGTCGTCTCAGAGAATTCCACTTCATGCATTATTTGTTGACTCTGGGACGGATTGGTAAAACCGTAGACGTGGTCATTGTTTGACATGGTTTCGTGGTATATAATAAAGTTGCACAGGACTGGCTTCTGTCGGTCTTTCACGACTCTCTGGTTGGGTTGTTTGATATGGTGCAACAGTGTCTAGAGACATTATCATATATGGCTGTTTATTGTTCCATTTTCTTGTATACTCACCTTACACTCTTTATGTCTTCCCATTCTCATTGTTATGATGTGGTGCATGTGTATCTGGTGCCTCTTTTTATCAATATTCATCACCTCAAATAAATTTTAGAGAGAGGAATTTCATCTCAGATATAAGTGAGATATTAGAAATCAATAAAAGTAGGTTTTACAGATTAAGTTTATTTCATTAAATTCTATTGAATAAATATATATAACACGTTATCATTCATCATATGACTTGCACCTTATTATTATTATTATTCAATTAAATAAGCACAAATATAAATGATAAACTTATCCAAATACATCATTTATAAATTATTATTATTATTATTATTTGAATGACAGTTATGAATGATGTAAGAGAATGTAATCGATATAATTGTGTAGTTGATTAAATAATTCATCAGTAGATCATCAATTTTCTTTACTCATATAACTTAGTTCAGATGTAATAATTTATGTGTAATTGTATATGTCATGTAGGATTGTTGAATTGTTCCTTGTCCTGTCTAATGTAATAATATTTGCATTTAGTTATCTTTCAGTACTTGAAGTCACTAACTTCTAGTCTAAGCCATGTTGGTAGATGCAGACTGCTTGGTTGGGATCCGTGTGACTATCGTAACCAATAGTTGGAGATTCTAAGTGACATGGCTCAGAATCGATCACAATGGCGTAGGTGTATACACTCTTTATCTTCCCTTAAACATTAAGATTAAAATTGCTTCATAACGTTCTTCCTTCCTATACTATATCCTTATATACAACCTTTCTATCATATGTAATACCACCGCTAGATTAATTACTTCTGTGAATTCGGTGTTCATCTTGTTGTGCTAACGAGGTATGGCAACTTGGACCGATGCATATATGTGCCTGGTCCTACGTTGTATCTGACTGACTGACTATCCTTCACAAGATTCTTCAAAGTTTTAATCTACACTCCTGTTATCCATAAAAATGTTTCTTTGAGTGATAAAAACGAGATTGAATATAATTATTGTCTATTGGTGTTAAATAGTTAAAAGTACCTTTTAGAGAAATCTAGACGTAAGTTTTATACCATCTAAAGTTTGCCACCATAATAAGTCTCCAAACTTGAGGGGGCACTAATACTACTCTTGTTATTCGAAATAGCCATTGCTTAGTGTTTCGTTAGAGACAGTTCCGCTAGTCTATCCAGTTCTCAACTGACCTATTGTATGACTGAGTGATTGATAACTGAGTAGCTATCATTCTCGTATTTGTCTATTGCTTGGCGCCAATCAAATTCTCTCGCTCACATTACAAAATTGAACACTTATCCAAATGACTCTTGATAACTCTGCTTTGAATTCTCCATGGAAAAATAATTTCGTTAAGGTTACAAATATACCTTATTGACATGTACCTATAGGACAGAATTCTTATTTCAGAACTTCTTGCTTATTTACCTTTGATAATGCAACACTAAACATCGTACATTATAATATTGAATTACTTAAAGTAATATATTGTAGTCTGATTAATAAAATCTAAAGATTAATTACAAGGATGACGAATTCTACCTTAATTAATAGTCAATAATTAATCTGTATAAATTATCATCTATACATATAAATGACGCAATTATATTGTTCTTTTATTTGTTATTGTTTGTTACTAAGTAAATAATTTACCTTTTCTTTTTTTTCGCCTCCTCCCTCTCTCTCTCTCTCTAAACATAATCTCTAGGCTATATATCTAAATAAAATCTTATAATGATATGTGAACAGATAACAATGGAAATTATTATTCAAATGAATTCCCGAACCAAAAAAACAATTAAGGACTCAAATGTTATTTACCCCCCCCCACACACACACACACCTTATTAAACTACGTCTTTTTTTGCCCATCTCATCTTATGGATTAATATTATATATATATATATATATATTGTTTCTTTCAAATTTCTGTTTTGAATAACTTCTTCTATTAATATCAGGAAAAAGGAGACCCCCCTTTCTTTTTCCTTTTTTTTTACCAGATTTTTTTAATGTTAATGTTTATACTACTTAAATTGGTAAAACAAAAATACAGTTAAAATCCTATAAACAGTAATTTGATTTGATTATTTTATAAACATTTTTTTTTTTAAAGAAGAAAAACAAAACAAAATTTTTTATATTATTCTTTATGATATTGTTATTTTTTCATACATATACATATGCCATTTGAATTTTAATTGTAATGACAGTAAATCCATTTAATAAAATTGTTATGTTCTTATTATATAAACACATAATTATTGGTACAAGGGGGTGGGGAGGGCATCAGATATGTATATACACCACACAAATCTTATTTGATTTATGTGAAAGCTATGATAGTGACTAGGTGCCTAAACTGAAGCAGATGGTTTTCTTAGGGATCCATACCCGGAGCCTTTGACTTAAAGATCTGATCCACAAAGCAGTGGAGCATCGTAAGAGGATGTAATCTCATGGTAGCAGGTGACCAACGATTAATTCATACGTCATTTGTTCCTTCAGGATACTAGAGCCGATGTGCATTATTGTTTTTTGAATGAGTGTTTTCCAACTCCCCTAGATGAATTATCCGTGTCCACCAACCCGCTTACAGTGTCGGATATCCGCTTTTCATCCTCTCAATTTCGTAGACAACAGTAATACCACAAGAAGGCAGTCAGTAGAACTTCCCTGGTAGAGGTTATATACGCGTGGCCATGTGAGAACATTTCAACAGGGAGAATGGAATCTCCCTACTCTTGGCCGTACCAGGGCATTCGAGTACTATTTGTTATGAATACACTATATTTTTTTGGTTAATGTAAGTAATATAGATTAATCAATGTAGGATATGAGAGAATTTATATGATTAAACCGTGAATCTAACTATTTGAAGATATGCTTTTATCAAAAACAGAATGTTATAGATAGATATTTCGGCTCTAGTTTAAGTATTTGTCATCATTGCAAATTGCTAGTCCTCTAAGGGGTTGAGCTCAAGCATTTTTGATATTGTAATATGTTAGTATCTAAATGAAAAGGAAATCAAATAACTAATTTGTAGTAAATTCCAAGTAATTGTACTACATTTGGGACTTTAGGTCCCCAGAACTCACTTGGGAAAGGACCTAATTTTATTCTGAAAATTTGAATTTTGTGTTTTCTCACCAATAGATGCTCAGTTGATCTACAGCTTACATTTCCCACTCTGAATTCCTTGACTATCATTGGCTGACGGATTTTTTTGATATGCTGTTTTGTGACTCTTCTAAAGGCGTTTCTATCATTGCAGAAATAAGCTTGATTTGTGTGCTTAGTAACCTCGTATTTTCTGGGTACTTGCAGAATACATTTTCTACGCCTCATCAAGACTTCTTGATCTAGTTAGCGAGGCCCGGGAATTCGGATTAGAATCGCCTATCGTGTCACTGTGTCACTGACTTTCGTTCCGTTTACCGATTAATGTGAACTCGTAATAGCACCAAGCATACCATACTGTGATCTTTTGGTTAACATTTCACATGTTACAGCTGTTGACCCATAAGGGCCATTTTTAACTATTTTGTATTGCAGTACAGATGATACTTTAGAATAATAATCTTTCTTAGTTCATGTTCATTTTTGCTGTCTTTTTTTGCTTACGTTGTGTTCTTTGTGAGGTAACTCCATTGGTTGATCCAAATGGGTTTAACAAAATCATAAGTTGATCTATAGGTTTCTTAGTGACAAAATATGTACACACCTTCAATACCACAGAGGGTTTAAACAAAGAACAAGAATGTAATGTTTCACATTGTATATAATATTCAGATTGAAAACATCATTAATGTAATTCAAAAAAAAGAACACTTTGCATGTATATTTGTTCATGTTTTACTGATATTAACAAGATACATACTAAAAACCTCCATTCATATGAAAATATCTATAGGGTAGGTCTTAAACTATAATGATGAATTTGCCAAGAATCATTTCAGCCTACATGACTAATGTGTATGCAGAAGTTATAAATAATAATAAATGAAAATAAAGCGTTAATTTGAATTATCATTGTCATTATCATCCAAATCATCATCTATCAAAGTTCTACTAAGTTAGTGAGAATATATTAGCAGTCAACATTCATGTTTATATTTTCAAGGAAGAGTGAATTTATAAAATGAGTTCGTACAGAGAAAAAAGAACTATAAAAGACAAACATTTTAAGCGATGAAATGTATCTAGCAGTAGAATTCAAGACGCTCATTTCGTCCTGATAATAATTATTAAGGCTCAATAGATAAGTCATTTGAAGTGAACGGTACTGCATTCAATCTCAGAGGTAACATCAACTCCAGGATGCAGGTACATCCAGCTGACGAGTCCGGAATAGGATGAAACGCGCGTCCTGGATTCCATCTCTAATTATATAGTTAGTGATTGTAATAATCTAGAATACATAAACAAAGTCGAATTCACCAACTAACAGAAAATTAAAATATAGCAGTCAATCCATAGATTTCACTAAATAAATCTAAATAAACAAATATAAGTCTAAAATGAAAGCCAATCAAGTTGAATATGTCAATAACAATAGCATGCTGATCAATAACAGTAAAATTCGAATTCAATGTTAAAGAACGAACGGTTAACCCACCTCTGTTACTCATTATGGAGGAATATAGGCCGCCGACCTGCACTCTACATCCAACTCTGTCCTAGACAATCCTTTCCAGTTGTTTGCTTTCAATTCTTGACGTATTGTGTTCTTTGGTCTTCCTCTTTTCTGTTTCTCTTCAGGATTCCAAGTTCTTGATGACCTTGTGATTCAGTTTGATGATTTCCACAATGAATGTGATATCCACTTCCAACGTATTTTCCTAATTTCCTCCTCATCCGGAAGTTGGTTTGTTCCCTCCTTCATTAGGCTGTTGCTGATGGTATCCGGCAAGTGAGTGTTGAGTATTTTGCGTAGACAACTGTTTATAAATACTTTTACCCTTCTGATGATAGTTGTGGTAGTTCTCCATTTTTCATCTCTAAACAGTAGAACTGTCTTGATGTTCGTATTGACGATTTTGATTTTGGTATTGATTGACAGTTGTTTTGAGTTCCGTAGGTTCCTTAACACTAAGAATGCTATCCTTGCCTTACCAATCTTCTCTTTTACGTCCACATTAGATCCTCTTTGTTCATTAATAATATTGACCAGGTATGTGAATGTTTCCACCTCTTCCAGAGCTTCTCCATCAGTCTACGATGTAAACTTACCTTAAAGAAAGCAATGTTATGTAAAACAAAATACAATCAAGTCATTACAGAAAAATTATTCACATTGAATAATTTAATGTACTTCAGTTTGTTCAATGATGAATTAGAAACCATATTAATTATGTAAAACAATAAAATATTGATTTTAATAGTTAAGATCATGAATCCATTGAAGTTAGACTACCATGGAGAAACCTGTAAGCAGTGAATAGCAGTTTCGTTCTATTGTTGGACTCCTCAGCAATGCTCATCCACGATCCCGTCTCACTTCCAGGTTTTTCATACTAGTCTAGGTTTAATTGATTCATGCTCTCAACTATATAAAATTACTATACTATTCACAAAACCACTTCAGATATTAATAAAATGTTGGTTATGAAATTGTACACATAGTTTTATTGATTAACAAACTTAGAATGGGGGGTCATATTAGATTTGTGTTGAACAGTTTGACCACTTCACAATACATTACCTACTGAAACAAACAAAATGATGTTTACATTCCTCCCCCTCCCCCCTCCCGTGAGAAAACAAAAAGAAATAATTGTTTCATTGAATTTTTTGCATTTTGTTCTCATGACCTGAAAAATGAAAATTGATGTTCATTTCATCATAATCCAAAAACAATTTGTTCATTGTAAAGGTATATGGATAAACACTTTTTTTTTGTTCAAATGAAACATACAATTGGATTACTCTTTTTATTTTTTAATTATAAGAGACTAAGTGAGATGTATTTTCATTTAAACAACGGGAGTTGTAGTTGTTTTAGGATAAGTTTTGTTAATTGAACGCTATCCTAGGATCCCGCTATATCCCGTGGAGAATGATGAATGGTAACTGATGACGGCTGTTTATGGACCAATGTCATGTGCATACTTCCTATTGTTAAGTAACTAAACTATTCATATTCGTGTCCCTCTTATTATAAGCTTTATTTTTATCCATAGATTATCACTGTACGATTTATCATTCCTGAGTTATACCCAGGCCTATTAATTACTGTTCCTCCTATTCACAGCCACATTTGGCCAAGTCTTGTACAAATATTATTTTCTATTTTATGTTACGATGTAGTCTGTTTGATTGGTATATAAACTCAGTATGTTTGAAATATAATGATTCGTACCGCAGAGGCCGTTCTGGACTTAACTGGCTGGGCTAGGCAGAAGCAGAACCGACAAGTACACTAGACTGCTCGTATGGTTTTTGTGTGTCATTTAGTTCGATCGATAATTCGCTGCTCTCTGATTGGCGGGGATCATCACGTTCATATATTGACTGGGCACGCCCGCAACCGATATAACAATTTGGCACGCACACACGGAATCAATCGATATAACAGATTTTTAGTTATTCTCGTAACCCCCCGCCAACTAAATCTACACAGCCACTTGAACACGAGAGAAAAGGAGCAATCTATGCGAGAAATACTTTACTTCAAATGTTCATTCATATACAGAAAATATAGGGTTTTTATGGTATT